ATTCTGCCAGTATGCTTATGAAGGTAAAATCTGCACTTGCTTCGCAGTTGGATGAACAGCGTAGAATTGCTGATGATGAGGCAAAAGAGCGTCAATCTCTTCTTGGAAAATTCAAGAATGCTGAACATGATGTTGATGGAATGAGGGGACACTACGATGAGGAAGTTTCTGCCAAAGAAAATTTGATGAGACAACTTAACAAAGCTCAGGGTGAATCAGATATGTGGAGAGCTAAGTATGAAACTGATGCTGTTGGAAAAGCTGAGGAATTGGAAATGTCCAAGCTTAAGATGCAAGCTAGATTGTCAGAAGCAGAATCCACCATAAACCAACTGGCTTCCAAGCTTGGACAGCTTGAAAAGAATAAGCAGAAACTTCAATCAGAGCTTGACAACATGTCTGTTCAATTGGATCAAGCTCAAATCCTCAACTCTTCAATGGAGAAAAAAGCAAAGCAGTTTGATAGGATTGTGGCTGAATGGAAGCTTAAGGTTGATAGTTTAAGCATGGATCTTGATAACAGTCAAAAAGAGACTAGAAACTCCTCTTCTGATTTGTTCAGAGTTAAGTCTGCATATGAGGAAGCAGTTCTTCAATTGGATGAGGTAAGAAGGGAAAACAAGACCCTGTCTAATGAGATCAAGGATATCATGGACCAGATTAGCGAAGGAGGACGATCAATCCATGACATTGATAAAATTAGGAAGCGTCTTGAGGCTGAAAAACTTGAGCTTGAAGCTACTCTGTCTGAAGCTGAGGGAGCCCTTGAACAGGAAGAGAATAAGGTTCTCCGAGCCCAACTTGAGCTTACTCAGGTGAGACAGGAAATTGAAAGAAGAATGGCTGAGAAAGAAGAGGAATTTGAATCAACCAGGAAAAACATGGGCAAGGCTCTAGAAGGTATGCAGTCTGCCATTGAAACAGAATCCAAAGGAAAAGCTGAAGCCCTCCGTATGAAGAAAAAGTTAGAAACAGATGTTCTAGATCTAGATACTTCTCTGGAGCATGCTAATGCAGCAAATGCTGAGACTCAAAAAATCATCAAGAAATATCAACTGAGTCTGAGAGAAACCCAAGGAAGATTTGAGGATGCTTGCAGAGCAAAAGAGGTTGCTCATGACAACTTGATTGCTGCTGACAGAAAGGCTCATGCCAATCAAAATGCTCTTGAAGAAGCTCGTACTCTGCTTGAGCAGGCAGACAGATCAAGAAGAATGGGAGAGCAAGAACTGTGTGATACCAATGAAACTCTTGGAGATCAAACTTGTGTCAACCAGGCAATTCAAGGCGGGAAAATGAAGCTTGATGCTGAAATGCAGACTCTTATGGTAAGTAGTTTTAAAGTCATTCCATTACAATTACTAGCAAATAGTCAAATATTCTGTTAACTTAATTTCTGAATTTTTAGTCCGACCTGGATGAGATGGCATCTGAGGCTGCTATGTCAGAGGAGAAGGCACAAAGAGCTATGATTGATGCTGCTCGTCTTGCTGATGAACTAAGAGCAGAACAAGAAGTTGCCCAATTCCTTGAAAGAGATCGCAAACTACTTGAATGCCAGGTCAAGGATATGAGTGCTAGGCTAGATGACGCTGAGCAAAACGCTCTGAAGGGTGGCAAGAAAGCCATGGGTAAAATGGATACCCGCATCCGGGAGTTGGAATCTGAATTGGACGCTGAGAACAGGCGTTTGTCTGATGCTCAGAAGGGAATGAGAAAGTCTGAGCGTAAGATCCAGGAACTGACCTATCAGCAGGATGAGGACAGGAAGAACCATGAGCGCATGCAGGGACTCATTGATCAACTCCAGGGTAAAATCAGAACCTACAAGAAGCAGATTGAAGAGGCAGAGGAGATTGCAGCTCTGAATCTGGCTAAGTACAGACAAACTCAGGGTTCCCTTGCTACCTCTCAGGAGTCGGCAGACTTAACTGAACAAGCTTTGGCAAAACTTAGATCTCGTGGACGTAGCTCTTCAATTGCACCGGTAAGCTTTTAGGAATCCGGATAATTTATAAACAGATCAATATTTTCTTACATTTTTTTAAACTTTCAGATGTGAAGATTTGAAAGGACTGAACAATAACATGGACAATTCAAGTTCTGAATAGAACATAGATCAGCTTAATGGAACCTTAATTATTTCTGTAGTTCATTTGCTTAATGCGCATATAATTACATATTGTGCTTTAAGTATTAGCACCTCTTTGTTTTAATAAAGTTTTAAGCACAAACATTAGTTTTAATATGGTATCCGTATCTATATATGATTTTGGCTTTGGTTTCTGTTTGTTTATATCCAATAAACGTCAAAACTGCAGAACAGATTGGTGGGCCAACAAAATTGTGAGGTATCTCAATAGACCCCAAGGAAAGCTTTGGCTGGACTAAATTGTAAAACTGTGCCCCGGAAAGATTATTTAATTATTTAATTATCTTAAAGGTTTAGAAATCCTTCAATGTAAATGGAAAAATCCGCAAAATGTTGAGATGTATACAATTACAAAGAAAAAATACGGGTAAAAATCAACATTTAAACTCTAAACTGGATATTAAAAGAGAAAGATACAATTGTCAACCATTAACATTAAGACCCCCCCCCCCCCCTGTAATGTCGTCTTCAACCTAAAGGCNATGTAATATCGTCTTCAACTTAAATGCTCCTCTCGGAGACAAGAATCCAAACCAAACAATTTCAGCCCGCCTTTCTTCCTTGTTCTCCGATGACGGAGTTAAAACGTTTATCAATTGTGAACCATTTCAAAGTTAAACAAAAACATTTCTATTTAAAGAATTAGTGACTTTCATCAACATTTAATTGTCAATCTTTTCAGAAGTTTTAATGTATAAAAAGCGTCTTCGGACTTTTCGACAGATAGTCCCACGAATAGGAAAATAGATCGTAAGAATCTTTTCATTATAAATTTGTAAACCCTGTAATAATTATTTATCATTATTCATTTCGTTATTTTTTTTTTAGGAAATAAAGAGTTTTCTGCATTATCGATTTTGATTCGTGGATTATACCTTGTCTATCTGTTCATCGTCAGAATCTTGTTCCTTTGCGACAACAACAATGCGCCCTGAGAGCCAAGTGATCACTAAATCTGTAAAAAAAATCTGTTTCAAGAAGAAATGCTATCCCTTTGTTTGACCTTTTAAAAATAACAGAAAACTCTGATAGGTCTTTTATGAGACTCTATCAAAGACTTAAGGAAGAAAGGAATTGAGTCTTAAAGCCGAAAAATAAATAACAAACTCGAAGAAATTGCCAAATGAGGTTTATTTAGGCAAAACAAGGTATTTTCACGAAAAATATCTTTAATTTTGATATTTGAAAACAGTTTTTGTTTATATACAAATAAATAGAAAAGGTCTATTTAAAAAAATTATTTTTTTGTAAAAATATTTTTCATAAATAGAAATATCTTTTTCGATCAAGTATCCAAAAGATATCCATCATCTTATCTTTGAAATTTTGATTTTTCATCGGTATTTCGATATAAAATGACTTGCACATTTGTACATTATAAACTAAGGAGGAAATTGTGAAAATTAAAGACTTTTCCAGAAAGAAAAATGATGAAATGTTATTGATTTGATTAAGCTTAAAAAGGTATCGTTGTAAATCGGGCACAGAGGTTCACTCAAATTACGCTTATAGTTTCTATAATAACCTCTTTTTTCCCCGAAAAACTCTGTTTCGTCGCCACCTCTTTAAAATAGAATTAGCTTGGTTAATTGGATAAATGATATCCTTGGTTTCAATTAGTGTCCTCATTATATCATTTACTCAGGGTCAAGGTTGTGAATAAGGTGAGATATTCTGAATAGGTGTAAAGATTACCTTAATAACACCGGACACTCTAAATTCTCTAATGACGTCACTACTTATTTTAAAGAATAATACATTTTGCGGCTCACTAAATATAAACGAAGTCAAAAATTGAAATTTTGAATTAAAATTGCAATTTTTTAGCTTCAAACTTGTCAGCACAGTCAATATATGTGATGATTGGTAGTTCAGTATATCAGTGACGTCATATGAGAAATTAGAGTGTCCATTGCAAAAAAGACGACATTTACCTACTGGAGCGCATCCAGAGTATCTACCTTATATACAACCTTGCTCAGGGTAGTGAGGTAAACAATGGAAATAGGAAACCAGAGAGAAAACCTCATGTTTAAACCAGGGTTAAAAACAGGATATGATATTATGACAAAAACTTTGTTAAAATGAAAGGGATACAAGAGATATATTTGTGGAAGAATTGTATAATGTTTAATGTTGAACAGTTCAAGATTCGTGAGGATTAACCGGGATTTGAACCGGCAGTAGGTATTCAGCTACCTCTCTCATTCATAAAATTCAGTCTCAGAATGACAAACTGGAATTCATCCCACCCTAAAAGCATCCCCCCCCCTCTACCCTTTTTAGGTTGTGTTTCGTCATATAAAACCATTACAGTAAAAAAATAGTATCTATCTATAATATATATACTATACATGACTGTTTGTCTGTTTGTTTGTACATTGCTATTGTTGACTACAGTTTATTTACAAGTAAGCCTCTCTCTATGCTTACAGTAGATTATCAACAGTTGAAGTCTTGAAACTGATGTGTAGGAACATCTTGGCCGTACTTGTACTTGATGCTTCTCCACATTAGGAAGATCCATGATTGATGGATATAAACATGTTTCCCATGGGTTGTAGGTTTTACTTAAAAACTGGCTAACCAGACCTGTTTCTTAGGTTTACTTTAAAATATTACTAGATCTAGGTCATTTTCTTTATTTAAAAAAAACAGTGAACGAATTTAATATTTAAGTATAAAATACAGGATGCCTATAACACTATAGAATATTATAGCATTAATAAAAGGGTATTTTATTTTCTACCATTTTTTCCATTTAAGTCTAAACCTAGAGACAAAATATTATAATGTTATGTCCTGAAGATTTTTAAAACGAAAGTTTTTTAATAGCTTTAATATTTTATTATATACAAATAATTTTGTACTTTTATCATAAATGAAAAAAATGGGTTTTCGGTTCAAAATTTAAATTTGTATTACATCGTTGGATAAAACTATCTAGAGCAGCCACCTACCGGATAAAATTATCCAGAGCAGCTGACTACTGGATAAAACTATCTAGAGCAGCCGACTACTGGATAAAACTATCTAGAGCTGCCAACTACTGGATAAAGCTATCTAGAGCAGCTGACTACCGGATAACACTATCTAAAGCAGCCAACTACTGGATAAAACTATCCAGAGCAGCTGACTACCGGATAAAACTATTCAGAGCAGCTGACTACCGGATAAAGCTGTCTAGAGCAGCTGACTACTGGATAAAACTATCCAGAGCAGCTGACTACTGGATAAAGCTGTCAAGAGCAGCCAACTACTAGATAAAACTATCTAGAGCAGCCGACTACCGGATAAAACTATCTAGAGCAGCTGACTACTGGATAAAACTATCCAGAGCAGCCGACTACCAGATAAAACTATCCAGAGCAGCTGACTACTGGATAAAACTATCTAGAGCAGCTGACTACCGGATAAAACTATCCAGAGCAGCTGACTGCCGGATAAACTATCTAGAGCAGCCGACTACCGGATAAAACTATCCAGAGCAGCTGACTGTCGGATAAAACTATCTAGAGCAGCCAAATACACCTGCCGCAAAGCTTCCAACAATAAAGTCGTAACACCATCCTGGTCTTTCCGTTGAGAGAAACAGTTCCTTACCCTCCTGGAATTATGCGTAATTATTTGTCAAGGTAGAAAAACAACGATATAGTTCACTTTTTTGATCAGATAAATGTTCATAGGGTATTGTTGGGAAACAGGCAATGGAAGGTCACTTGAAATTATAACAATAATTCCTTTTAAAGGGACTGTAAGCGTAATTTCAAGTGACCCTGCATGCAAAGATTCACAAAGGTACCCTTGAAACCTTTTTGTTGATCAAATATGTGAAATATATCGTCGTTTTTTTTAGGTTAAACAGTTTTTAATTCAAATTATTACAGCATGTTTTCCTGCAGTAGAAATACGCAATTTATTTTTGTACAGATATCACAATTAACAATAATCAGGTTTTAATTTTATCAACATTGAAATCTAATTCATTCAATTGATCACACAAAGATGTTAAGGGTAATGTTGTGAATTGGGCATTGACATCTTTGCATTGAGGGTTTCTTAAAATGACGCTTGCGCGCAGTCCTTTTAACATGGGTTTATGAAACCAGTTTGGCCTATAACACATCAAAGCTGTAGCGAGGGATGTTTTTCATGGCAAATTGGTCGAGGGAACCAGAAAGAAAGTTAAAGCTTTAAATAGTTTTAGTATAGAGGTTTAACCACAAAGGATCAGTCTTTAAAGTCGACCTTAACTTTTTTAAATTCACATTTTACAATTCTACCATAAATTTAGTTTTTCAAGTTTATCAAATAGTTTTATCTGAAGCCTTATGCATTGTGAATATCCCTGTATCAAGAAAAGACAAATCTGAATAAGGAGCAGGAACACTGAACAGTTAAAAAAAAAATATTTTGGACATTTTCTCCATACTTATCTTTTACATAAAATGTAGGTTTGATTTTGGATTCTTATTTCTAATTCTTAATATCTTTTCGGTGCATTTTTCAAACAAACGCAGATTTGAAATTAATATTTTTTAATCATGCATAATCTTGACATCTCTCCGTGCATGTTAAACAAATAACAAGAAAGACGACGTTAGCTAATTCTATACAACTATGAAATTTAAGAATATTAACCTTTGTACAACATTTATCCTTGCAACACTCCGTGTAGTATTTTACCTAAAATAATTTTTGTATTACAAATAATCTTTTGATCAACAGGATCAAATCTAATTTTAAAGCGGGAAAAAAGTCGTCTTTTTTAAGTCTTAATTAGAAAGACGCGTCGCTAAAGGACTTTAAAATGTGTGACTGGTATAACTCTAAAAATAAGTCCTAAATATTTCCAGAGATTCATTGCAAATTAAAGAATCTCTAATTTTTATGATACTAAATCTTTACAAAGACGACTTTTATTTGGCTTTTTATGGAATATGACTGTAGGAATTGTTCACCTAAGAAAACTCATGATACTACAGTTAAACCCTAAATGAGCTAAATATCGAAAGAATTTATAAAATGTCGTCTTAACAATATTTCAATGGGTTTTATCGTATCTTACGTAAATCTCTGTATTTGCGAAAAAAAATAAAAACAATGAATATGCGGGAACAGTTTTAAAGAGCTTCATATAATTATTTAATTAAAAAACTAAATATCTGCAACATTCCATTATCAGAAAGTGAAGAATACGACATTTGATGTATGGCTTATTTAGGGTTGAACTGTACGTCTCTCTTACTGTCTGAAATATCTCAAGTTTGGATACTTTTATGTACAGTTTAACCCAGTACTTCGAATAAACGAATTTATAAAATATCGTTTTCTAAACCTAATCATAACGGAATGCTGCAGATGAGATACAGGGTTTCCCACGAAACATAATATATACGAGTTAAACATTTTTTTTAAAAGAAATAAACTGCAAAAAGTCTTTAATATCTAATACAGTAATTCAAAACTATTCACCAACTGTCATGTTTCGTGGGACACCCTGTATTTACTTATATAATTGAATAATTACATGGAGCTCTTTACAACTGTTTTTGCGGATATTTTATAGTCATTTATTTATTTATATAATTACAGATATTTAGGTATAATCAAGGAGAATTGAATAGAAGGAGAGGGCGATAGGGTTTCCGTACACTTTGCTGTGACGTTTTTGGACTGCTGAAGAACTAGTTTTTGCGTAACAACACTAATAAAGATTGTAAACAATAACACAAATGATAAACAAACATCTGGCATTTCTGGCGTTAGATGAAGGTTCACCGTATACTAACTCATAAAATTCAGTGATGGTGATGGACCAAACCTCTGTAGAGTAAAAAAGTAGATGTTAGTTACACATTTATTGAAAATATATTTCGGTCTGGGTTGACCCTCGTCAGTTCTTGAGATTGTTTCTTCACAAAGATTAAAAACAAACTCTAACTCATGTTTGTTTACATTAGATCGGCTGCCTTTGTTATTGTTGTTACGCAAAAACTAGTTCTTCAGCAGTCCAAAAACGTCACAGCAAAGTGTACGGAAACCCTATATCGCCCCCTCCTTCTATTCAATTCTCCTTGGGTATAATAATATAAATCTCCTTTTTTACAAGTGTTTTATGATTATTTTTTAAAAATGTTAAAAAAATAAAATTGGTGATTGGTGGAGGCATAGTTAATAATTTCAAAATTCATCTTTTTTCTCCTTTCTCAATCTGCACGCCTGCAGGTTCTCTTTTTCTTGCTACCCTTTGCCCGTCCATTTATTGCGCTGCTTTTGAAAGAATGTTTACGAGTCGCTGTCGTTGCGCCATTATGAGACAGTCCACGATCACCCTTTCTTTGAATAGATGTCTTCCTCTCTTTTTTTCAATTTTTGTTTGTTTTGCTTAGTTGTAATTGCAGCATCAGTGCTGCACAGTGCACATTCTGTTTCTGTCTACTTGCATTTTCTAGGTCACCAGTCACCACTCCTAAAACTTTAAGTTAGTTTTTATTTGCAGCGAGGGAGCAATAGCTTCCATGCTTTGAACCGCACATTTTTAATTTCCTATAAAAGGAGGGTTGCCATTCAATCAAGTGACCCACTCAGAGGTAATTTTGTTGTAGGATCCAGCAGAGAAATGTCCTCGAGTCACTGTTTGTGAGAAGATTAGATAGAGGAGAGTAGAGAGGAGGATAAGGGTTTGTAGGGGTGGCATATCAGGAATGTTTTGTTAAAAACACTCCATTTGCCAACATTTTATACTGTTTCCCAGTCCAGCAGAATTCCTTAGGTAGTATTACACCGCTGCATGCTGATTCGGAGTTGTCTCTTTTTGTCATCTCTGGAGCAGGGTCCTTCCAGAAAGGGCTCCGATCGCTAAGTGGAGTGGGTATGAAACAGGATTAGTTTTAGACATATTAGCTCTTTGTTTTTCCTATTTTTCCTATTCCGGCCGTGGGTATCATGCAGTTAAGAAAAGAGGCTATAGCTTAATCCAGGGAAAGCGGTGGAATCGTAGTTTCTCCATCTCTCTTTGGTCGGAAGTCTTAAATGCTTGGCTTCTGATTGGTCGAATCTCTGGAGATATTTAAAAGGAGTGTACTTAATCTGTAGGACTTTAAACAACTGACTAGTGCTTTCTAAACGGATTAAAAACACAAAAGTTATAATAGGGATTGTACGTGTAATTTCATAAGAACCTCCACGCAAGATGACATTGCCAGATTCACAATGTTAACCTTTCAAGCAATTGTCTGATCAATATTGTGGAAGAAAATTTAAAATAGTCACTGCCATCCTTCCATGGAGGATTACTTGAAATTACGCTTACAGTCCCTCCTTGAATATTATAAATTACTTCTCTTACCTCTTGTTGGTTGGGCCAGGGAGGTTGGATATCAATGGCAGCGTAAGGACAAAGAAATGATATTCCATTTTCAAACTTAAAGATAGTTTAAACATGTCAGTTTATAAAAATTCAAATAAATGAAACGAAATGGATTTGTTTAAAACATCGATTTCGGATAAAAAATGTTTTATTTGTTGTTGAAAGCAGATTTTCGGGGTTTTTACATACAGTGGTTTCAATTTAACTGTCGAATAGGAAGACGACCTGTTAGACTCAATTGAAAATTAGTCCGATGTACATGATACAGTAATTTTGCAGCGTAAACTACAGAGTACAGAGAACTTCTATTTTCAATTATTATTATTACAAATTAACTCTAATGTCGTCTTCCTAGTCAACATTTTTCTGGGCCCCACTCCATCATTAAAAACTCATGGACTTTTCAGGACAAGCAATCTTTTACAGAATACAGTTTTGATTTTTGAAAACTTAATTCTTCTAATATTTTTCTGTTGACTTGTAAAAGTCCAAAATAAAAGTGGTTATAATTGGAATGAAATAATATACAGTGATAACCAGAAAACAATGGAATAGGAAAACGACATTATAGAAATACTTAAATGTATTAAATGTTGTTTCAACGAAAAACTGAACACTTCTTAATCATGAATTTTTGGAAATGGGTCTGTTTACTATGTTTCGTGAACTTTGGGCCGTTAAAGTTCATTCTAAAAGTCGTCTTCCTATGTCAGAGTTGTCTGGTTATCACTGTATATTTACCACGCATCTGGTGACTGATGTAAACTCATATTTCTTATAAAACTCTTCATCTAGATCATAATTAGGAGGAACAACTAGTGCTGACACCTACACAAGGAACTGATCACTATTCTCATACAGAGATAACCAGAAAACAATGGAAAGGGAAGACGACATTAATGCAATATTTAAGTGTAATTGATGTTGTACACAGCATTGGTCGTCTTTCTATTTCAGAGATTTCTGGTTTCCCCGCAGGATACGACCACAACAGGATATTCAAGAGGAACTAATTTTATCAGTAACAAATCAAGACCTACAATGATAACCCCTAGAAATGATGTCGTCTTCGAGTTCCAACTATAAAATAGAAAGTCGGAAAAATTTATTGTTATTGTAAATTGTCTCTTAACATCCTCAGCAATTGAATTCAGTGGCGCAACTAGGCCTTTTCTGAGGGGGGGGCGAAATCTGAAAGTTATTAGGGGGGGTAACGGGNACAAATATATGTATTCCTTGACCCTGAACAGCTTGAGTCACACAACTATGGATTTAACCATGAATCATGATATAAAAGTTGAAATATAATAATAATTTTTATACAGAAAATTGTTTTAATAATAATTAAAATTTTTTTTTTTCAAATATAGTAGACCAGATTTGTTTAAACTGCGCCAAAAAACAAAAATTATAGTAAATAGTGTCAGGGTCGAGGGGGGGGCGAGGGGGGGGCGAAAAATGCTGAGGGGGGGGCGAAACTCGGTTCGCCCCCCCCCTAGTTGCGCCACTGATTGAATTGAACCTAAGACGACTTAAGTTTGATTTATTCAACATATCAAAAAGTGTGAAAATTTAGTACAGAACAAAATCCGGAAATAATTTAATTGTTTTTTTTTTAAGAAATCCGGTATTCCGGAAATTATTTTCGAAGTATTGCCACCGGTTGCTTTTCCGGAATTTTTCTTCCGTGAAGTTTTCATAATAATATATTACCTTTCTCGTCCAAATCACTGAATAAAAATTAAAATTAAAGTTTAGAATTTTTAGAAAAATGTTTTAAAAGTAAAAAAGTTCTTTTCGCATTTCTTAATTTCTCAAATATAAAATTTTAAAATTTAAAATATTTAATTTCAATTTCCAAATATTAAGTAGAAGAGAAGAGCTGCCATGTCTGAACAATTTGCAACAGAATCTTAGGATTTGACATTGGATACTTTATACATGGAAATATCATTTACCACTTCTCATTTTAAAGGGACTGTAAGCGTAATTTCAAGTGATGGCAATGACCAATTCGCAACGTTACCCCTAACACTGTCTCATCAACACTGTAAATATTAAAACGTATTTAAAAATAAGAATTTTTGGAAAAGAGTACTGCAAAACTTTTTGTTTAATAACTAAAATAAAAAAATCCATATTTTTTATTGTTTTCATAAGAAAAATTGGATGCAGAACAATATTTGTAAAACTGTTAAAACACCGTGTCATTATTATTTAAAAAAGTGTAAGAATTTCTGTATACAAAGAATGCGCCACTTCTTTAATAGCATAGACAGACACCACCTGGCGGCCAAATGTGGCAGCTTTCGTTTCACAATTTTTGGAATAACTTTTCAGTTTTTTAAAAATAATTTGGAAAAACTTCCAAAGTAATCATACACATTTCAAGTTAATTAAATGAAAACACGAACAGAAAAAAACAAATTTGTAATTAAAAAAGATTTATTAATTATATATATGTAAACTGTACGAACTAGAGGGTTTCCAAATTCGCATAACTTTAGCGCAAATTTTTGTAAAAGAAAGCGCAAACTTTTGCTTTCATTGCGTTACATTTTTGCGCGAAAAAAAGAGCCCTTTGCGTTCATTCGCAAATTTCATTATGAGGAAAATTGCGCTATTCCGCTTTTGCGTTATTCTACGCAATTTTGCAGAAAAAATTCTCAATTAAAGGTTGATTAAAGGTGTAAACTGTTTAAATTAGTAATCTATGAGATTGCAATTTTCGACATATAATTGCAACGCTTAAAAGGAAACTGTTTATACTTGGTTCAAACTCTACTTTGCAACCAATGATGCATGATGGCACACTCTCATACACAAATCGAGATATATTTTGCAAACTACACTTTTTTAGAGCACTTAAGCTAGAAACAGGCGCGTAGTGTTTTAAAAATAAAATCTACATTGTCTAGGCCTAGAAAAAAAGGATTAGTGTGTTGCGAGGTGAAAAAATAAGCATCAATTTTTAACTTCTATTTTTTTACCCTTAATTTAAAGTTTTGTAACTAAAAGTAACCAATTACGCAAAAAAATATGGTCATTTCGTGGAAAACCTTGAAGATATTAATGTTTATAATTTAATAAATGTTACAATTGCGCATTTACATTGCAAGAAAACACTAGTGAATTATCAAAATTGAGCACTTTTAAACCTGGAAAACGAGAATATCTTCCACATAATTGTTCAGATAAAGGTTTCAAGGGTACCGTGGGTAAATTTAACATTGCCATTGCAATTAGGTTTATTTGGAGTATTGACAAGAATAAATATTATGATATAAGAATATATTAGAATAAGAATATATAAGAATTGGCAAAGAATAGAATAAGCTGATAATGGAATTTTTTAACATATTTAAGCAAACCGTACATTTTAATCTACAGTAAATGTATTTAAAAATAAATAAAATGTATATTTACATATTCTTAGATTTAGTTTAAAACAAATTGAAGAGTCATTCAAAACTCTTCAAAACTAAACGTTTTACAACAAAAATATTTTATAGAAACGAACCAAAATATTTACATTTTTCATTCAAAATTACAAAAATAAAGATATATAGAGACACATTTTGCTGAATCTTTAGGTAAATATATAAAGTAAAGAACTACTTATACTGCAACCTTCATGAGAAAAAGCTAGGGTTTAAATACATAAGTTTTAATGGAATTTACATTGTACTACATAGTTCTGGGTATGCAATTTATAAATACAATTGAACTTTAAAAAAGCATTTGGAAGAAATCATCAAAAGGAAAGAAATATAGAACTAAGGATAGGGGGATAGGTATTGTTTACATTCCACTGTGACGTATTAGGACAGCTTTAAAACTAGTTTTTTTGTAATCAAACAACAATTTCATTTTATAAAATTTCATCAAAAAAGTTGATTAAGTAAATATGTAATTGTTATAAATACCAACGATGTTCATTATTATTTATTACTTCCAGAGCTGTACTATTACGTCACAGCAAAATGTACAAAAACCCTGTCACCCTCTCCTTACTTCAACTTTCATTGATAAGAAGTATGAAAGAAGGAAGTATTTATGGCTTAGAAGGAAGAAATTGATGTCAAATTATTCGTCAATACTGACGCAAAATCTACTGTCAATTCTGAATGGAAATGCTCGGTCATATTTTCAATTGGGCATGACTCCTTACGTAGCGACTGGGCCCAGTCTGGAAATGTGTCAAGATTAAACATGACAAGTCCATAGGAGTTCACAGCTACCATCGTGACCACGATACAGATCACGTTCATGATCGACCCGACCGCCATCATCTCCGAAGTTCGCATCCCCGAAGCGGAGAACACAATCGCGTTTGGTGGTGTGGCCACCGGGAGCATGAACGCAAAGCTGCAAGTGATGGTGGCTGGAATCATGAAGTAGAGCGGGTTGATGTTGGTAGCATTGGCTAGCTCAGCTAGAACCGGGAGAAGAATATTAGCCGTTGCTACGTTACTGGTGACCTCGGTCACTATGGCGGTCATCACACAGATGATCAAAACAACCGCGCCCTGTGGGAGTGAGTCCAGAACAGAAAGCTGCATTCCAATCCAATCAGATAAACCAGAAGCCTAAATAATTTTTTTTGATGTATTTGTTGCTGTGTTTTGGAAACTTAACGGCACTGAAAAAAATGGCAGGCCTGTATTACTAGTTGTACATTGATCTTCACAACCCTCAGAATAAACGCACTTGACAATTAATATTTGATTTATATTTTCATTACATCTCATCAGGGTGGATTCAATTGATGGTAAAATAAGAGAAAAATTAATTTTTTTAAATTTATAATATCTAGATCTTGCAAAAGAAACCAACCTTTGATCCGTCTGCTAGAGCAAATCCGCCACCAAAAAGCAACATCACACCCCAAGGAAACCTGACAAATTAGATTAAAGTTAGTGCCTGGCGCCTGCAAAAGTTTTTTTTGTACTTGGTAAAAGTTTTGTTATCATATTAAAAGTATAGACATATTATTCAACAAAGGTAACATAAAAAGGTAACACCCTGATAAAACTTTTAGCTTTTTCTTAAGTTTTATTTGAATCCTATCAATTATTCTTAAAAAAGTGCTAACTATGTGTTCTTTGATCAAAGAATGAGTGAAAGAGTTGGGACTAAAGCTTTTCTTATTATGAAGTACGTTGGAAAATAGATTTTAAAAAGATTTGTCAGTCCTTATCAATTAATCGAGCCCAATGATCGTTGTTTTTTCTTCTAAAATTGAAAAATATTTATTGACAAGAAAAAAAGGATATGAAACCTGTCATGGATAGTTCTCCAGTCTATGAGCGCAGGCGAGGAGTGGGATGTCGCAAATGTTGTGAAAGGCCAGAAAGTGAGTTTACTCGGCGTAATAAACAGAATGAAGACGATGAGAAGAGCCGCTGATGCATCATCCACACTCTAAAAATTAAGTACATTAAGTACATGAAATACAGGCAAGGAATTGAGTTTTTTTCCACAAACTTTGACTCTGATTTTCTAATATTTTTGCAACCCAATGTTTAATATTTTAAACTATAAAACTTTGTTAGATCCAATTATCTAAGATTGAAATATCAAAGGTTTACACCACCAGGTTGCAAAGATATAAAAGACATAAAATTTGATTTTTTGGCAAATTTCTTGGTCGTTAATAAGCAATTATTTTAAGCTTTTTTTTTGGGGGGGGGATAAAAATATAACGTAAACTGTAGTTTTCTTTAAAGCATTAAAAAAAATATTTTTTTTTTGGGGGGGGGGGATATTAATTTAAAGTAAATTGTAGTTTTCTTTAAAACATTTTGAGAAATTTTTTTTCCATTACACAATCATTTATTGCCTGAAACAAGTTACTGAGTTAATGGGGGGGGGGGATAAAGGATTAAAATAAATATTATCTTGTTAACCTGGACTAATTTTGGTCTTCCACAAGTATCTTCTTCCTCTGACATAAAATATTCACCCCACCCTGAACATACAAAAACAATTAGATTGAAAATTGTGTGTTGTTAATGAACCAAACCTCATAGAGTTAATAAAGTAGATGTTAGTTCCACATCTGACCTTCCTCAGTTCTAACGATATAATAACATTCAAATTTGAAAAAAATTTCAAAACCTGCAGGAAAATAAAGAAACAAAAAAGTTTTCTAAAAAAAGCGAAGTCAGATATAAAAAAGGGAAACAAACTTAGATTATGATTATTTACAAATCTTCACTGTTTAAAGAATGTTTTAAGACAATTAAATTATCTATTGATTAACATTTATTTTAAGTTGGGTTGATCATCCATGGGTTTTGTAAGGTGTATTTAATAAACTCAATTTTTTTAAATACCTATATCTTTCCAACCTGATGGTATAAACTTTTGATGTTTCAAACTTAGACTATTTGATCTTTCAAAACTTATAGTTTGAAATATCTAAGGTCTACGGCATTGGGTTACAAAGATGTAGGGATTAGAAAATCAATATTTGTTGTTAACACTCAATTCTATATTTATTAAATTTGATTCTGGAATGAAATTCATATACATATAAAACGTCGTAATCTCTGTTTGTCTGTTTGGATGTTCGATCACTTAACCCTATTCCTGCTGGGGGGGGGGGGCCAATTTGACCCCCCCTGTAGTTTTTTTTACATAACTCAAAAAGTATTGGTC